CCTCCTAATCTTGTTAAATTATTATTAAATATGAAATACTTTGTCTTTTTCCCCACTGATTTGTGATATTGACTTTATATACTTATTAAATTTTCATATGCAATTTGGTCTATTTGGATTTTTCTGTTCTCTTCTAGTGGTCAGTCTATTTCTTCACTAATACCAATACTGTTTTAATTATAGAGGAATCATAATATTTTTTAATATTTAGTACAACTGGACCCTTTATTTCTATTCTCCATCAGAGTTTTCCTGGCTCTTTTCTCTTGTTAGTTTTTCCAAATAAGTATTAAATCAAGATTTCTAGCTTCACAAAAAATTTCTGATCATTTTTTTTACTGGGATTGTATTGAATTTGTTAATTCAGGGAAACTGAGATCTTTATGATGTTGAGTTTTTTTACCCATGAAAATAGTACATATTTTCATTTCCTCAAGTCTATATTTAAATCTTACAAGGGTGTTTTATAACTCATATAACTTGTATATATAACTTATATAACTTTTGAACTTTTCTGGTCAAGTTTATACTTAGGTTTTTTTCTTTGTTTTTGTTTTTGTTTGTGAATTAGGTCTTCTTTTCTTTTATATCTTCTAACTGGTTTTGTTTGTATGACCCAGCAATTTTACTCCTGGGTATATACTCAAGAGAATTGAAAATATAGGTTCATACAAAAACTTGTACACAAATGTTCACAGCAACATTATTCCTAATAGTCAAAAAGTGGAAACAACCCAAATGTCCATCAATTGATAATGGATAAACAAAATGTGGTACAGCTATACAATTATTCAGCTGTAAAAAATGAAGTACAAATATACAAATATATAAATATATATATATATATGTGTGTGTGCATATATATATATATATATATATAAACATGGATGAACTTCAAAAACATTAAGCTAAGTGAAAAAAGCCAGCTACAAAATGCCACATATTGTATGATTCTATTTATATGAAATGTCCAGAATAAGCAAATACATTGATATAGAAAGTAATTTAATGGTCGCCAGGAGCTGGAGAGAGCGAGGGCTAATGGGTACAAGGTGTCTTTTTGGGGTGATGAAAATATTCTGGAATTAGATAGTGCTGATAGTTGCACAATCTTGTGAATATACTTAAAACCATTGAATTGTTCAACTTAAAATTGTGAATTTAATGGTAAATAAATTATATCTCAATAAATATTTAAAAATAAAAAGACAAGAGGGAGCTAGTATGATGAAAGTGTATTATAAATTCAGGGGTGTTTTAAACTCAAATTCC